AAGTCAACACTGGAGACACCCAGTGAGATGTTGTGTTACTTTAATTTTGACTAGTTTCAACAACAACCCAACTTTCAACATTAATAAAAAAAATATTACACTGTTTCAACAGAGAAAGATATAAAACAGAAAAAAAAACAAGAACCCCATCAAGCAAATGCAACAATGAATAAGTTCACTTTGGCTGGATTAATGAAAGAGCCGGTCTGTGTGTAACTGTGCTGCAGCTGTTGTTCAGTGCTGCTCATATCAGCTGTTATCAGAGGAATGTGTGTGAGACCCAGCTGTCACTCACAGACCTGAGCTGCTTCTGCTTCACTCGTATTCAGACAGCGGCATTATTCCAGCTGCTGCTCCAGTTAGACTGACACAACTAACCCTAACCTAACTAACCCTCACTAACCATAACCCATGCTTGTACAGGCAAACCAAAGCTGTGCAGAATTAATACAGTCAACTCTACACCTCCACATGATGTCTTACGATGTCATTAAATATTGATGAGTCTGGTTAAAGGGTTTTAAGGCAGTGCTCAGAAGAACATCTGGATCAGTCTCAGCTAAGCAGCATATTCCTCTGTGCTTGTGCTTGTGTCCATTTCTATATTTTTTATTGCAAAACAATAAACATTTACAAAAAATACAAATACTAAGTGTATATATGATTATATTAAAAACAACTACACCAAAAGAACCATAAATAAATAAGTTATTATTATTATTATTAAGGCTTGCTATACTCTACAAATTTGTCTTGGCCTTTTGGTTTCTCACTTATGTCTCAATATAGTGCTAATGCACAAATGCATATAAATAAATTCTATTGCAATACAGTCAGTAGATCATGGCATTAGAAATATCTCAATGCCCAGGGAAAGCAAGAAATGATCAAATGTGAACATATACCTTGAATGCAATGCAGGTTTCGTCGGATGAAAGCAAATGCATACATGTAAATGTAATAATGTAATACTATTTTACAAATATTTCTGTTTGTGGACATGCTATAAATATTTAATTCATAGAAATATTAATTGAATAATATTTATGAATATATCTATTATGACTGTATATATATTTCACACTTCTCCTATTCTTTCTTTCTTTAATTCTGTGTATTGAGGTCAGCGCTGCTGATGATGATGATGATGAAGAAGATGCTGCGGCGGGGCCCTCTGTCGGTCAGTTACCCGGCTGCAGAAGCTCCGCCTCAGAGACTCCTCCGCTCCGCTGAATCAGACGCTCGCTCAGAGCGTCGCGGCGCTGCATCAGTTCTGAGCTCTTCAGATCGGTGCATGCTGAAGTGATGATGGCGGCAGCGCTGGAGAGAGGAGGGCTTCGGGCCGCCTTCCTGAACCCGGGCAGCGGCGGCGGCGGAGCGGCTCCCACAGCGGCGTCTGGAGCGGTGCTGTGGGGCTCCGCGGGCTCCGGGTCTATGCCCGTCCCCATGAACCTCTTCGCCACCTGGGAGCTCGACCGCTCCTCTCCGAGCTGCGTGCCCCGGTACGAGTGTGTGTGTGTGTGTGTGTGTGTGAGAGAGAGAGAGAGCTGTCAGTGCTGGTGTTTGTGTTTATCGACATGTTTATTTGCTGATTGTCCTGCATCTCTGATGGAAGTTAGACAGTGTGTGACACTCATGTTTACTATCTTTTCCTTACAGTGATATTTCAGCACCATAGTACAGTGGTGTATTACTATGGTGCTGAAAGTGTGGTACTTTGAAAGGATTGTTCACACAAAATCATTTACGTCCATTTTAAACCTGACTTAATTTCTTCTGTGGAACACAAATGATATTTTGAAACTAAAGAGCCCTGAGTTTCATTCTATGGAATTCTTCAGGAACATTTTTCAAAATATCTTCTTTTGTGCTCTACAGAAGTAAACAATGACAGAGAGCATCATGGTTTGTGGAGTGTTGTTTGTTAATGCTGTATTGTTATCTATGATCAGCTTTGCACAACTTTGAATTCTAGTAGAATCACCACCAAACACTTCACACACTCCTGCTGAACAGACAGGACTTCATCTGTTTATGTGTAAAGACTTGAATCGGTTCTCCATAGTTAGGTTGTTTTGGGTAATGGATGTGTTGAGAAGTGAGTGGCAGCAGATGAGCCTCGGCCGTCTGTTCTGGTGTTTCTGCTTCAGCATTCAGAATTCCGGTTCTTGTGTTTTCCGCTTCCTTCTGAATCCGAACTCTCGCTGCACTTTGGGGAATTCCAGAACGCTTTCACACCCCTTTCATAATGTGTTTTTCTGGGAAGTCAGTGGACATTGATGTTCCTTCACCCTGATGTCATTCTTCACATGGAGTTTCTCAAGTTGATGAAGTGCAGACGGCATGAGTGTGAGTGTGTGTGTGTGTGTGTGTGTGTGTGTGTGTG